TCTGTTATCAACTTTCCAGTGTCCTAGGAAGTAAAATTGCCTATAGAAGTGGAACTAAGAAAGTATAACTCTAATGATGTTACTCTGTATGAGTTATTATTATTATTTATGTATCAAGAGACTTTAAAGTAACTCCAGAGAACAGTCAATACTTTCTGTCTATACTTCTTCAACATATTAGTTTAAAATAGAAAAACCTCATTAGATTTCTATGGTAAGGTGGTAACTTTAACAATAAGTCATTTTGTTCTTCTGTCATTCAGAAACCCTAATGAGATGGCTGCATACATGAAATCTAAAGGAACACTTTGCCTTCCACCCCTGTGCCCTTTTCTCTCCTAAAAGGATGGGACGGCTTGAATAATCCACCTAAGTTGCTTCTTCCTCTTTTTTTAAATATATTTTTTAAATTGATTTCAGAGAGGCAGGGAAAGGGAGGTAAAATGTCAATGATGAGAGAGAATCATTGATTGGCTGCCTCCTGCCCATCCTCCACTGGGGGTCAAGACAGAAACCTGGGCATGTGCCCTAAATGGGAATCAAACTGTGACCTCCTGGTTCATAGGTCGATGTTCAACCAGTGAGCCATGCCAGTCGGGCTACTTAGCTTCTTAATAGGAAGAAGACAAGTTCCATTTTGAATATTAATAGGGAGAGGTGAGTTCCCACTGTGATGTCCCAAAGTCAGATTTTGTGTTACTTCCTGCATTAGCTTACGAGGAAGAGCTACCAGCAGCAGCTCAGAGTTCTCACTTGAACCATTTTGCTCCCTCATCCATGAGCACTTAGGTTCCAAATTTCAGAGTGTGTAGCCCAAGGTACTTCTGGGAAGTGCCTGGCGTTCCCCAAGTCCTTAAGGAGCAAGGTCAGGAACAGGATTCTGTAGACCTACTGTGAGTGCAGAGTTTGCTCACAGACAGGACACTAGTGGGCAATATAGAAGGTCACTGTTGGGTGGAGGCATTACAGTGGGAAATGTTGGAAGTCAATCCTAATGCTGTGGTTTTGTTTCCTGATGTCCCAGAGCTTGGAAATCAAGATTCACAACTGAGACTTGTCTTAGTGGGTAAGACTGGAGCAGGAAAAAGTGCCACAGGGAACAGCATCCTTGGAAAGAAAGCATTTAATTCCAGCACTGCAGCAAAATCCATCACCAAGGTCTGTCAGAAAGGAAGCAGCATGTGGAATGGGAGAGAAATTGTCGTCGTGGACACACTTGGTATTTTCAACACCGAAGAACAGGATGCTAACATGAAAAGGGAGGTTGGTAATTGTATTGTCCTGACCTCCCCAGGGCCTCACGCTCTGCTCCTAGTGGTCCCGCTGGGCCGGCACACAAAGGAAGAACAAAAGGCCTTGGAGAAGATGCTATCAATGTTTGGACCCAAAGCTAGGAGATACATGATTCTCTTATTCACCCGGAAAGATGACTTGGACGGCATGGAGTTCCATGATTACTTAAAGGAAGCACCAAAAGGCATTCAAGATCTGGTGGAGCAGTTCAAGGATCGTCACTGTGAGTTCAACAATAAGGTGACAGGGGCTGAGCAGGAGGCTCAGAGGACACAGCTGTTGGAATTGGTCCAGCGCATGGTGATGGAGAACCAGGGAAGATTCTATACTAATAAGATGTACCAAATAGTCGAGATGGAGATTCAGAAACAGATTCAAGCTATAAAAGAGAAATACAGAGCTCAGCTGAAGAGAGAGAAAGGGGATTTAGAGGAGAATGAAGAGAAAAACAGAAAGCAGGGGGATAAATTGGAGCAGGACAGTAGAAAGGCAGAAATGGAGAGGGAATTTGAAGAAAGGGAGAATTACTATTTCTCCAGGCAGCAAAATGCTAGAGGTGAAGTTGAGAGTCAGGAAGGGATGCTTGACTTAATCTTGAAAAGATTGAGAGCAACCTGGACAGAAATCTCATCTCTGTTCAAAGAAGATTAGGCTAATGAAAATCTGTCTATATTTCCTGAGTGTTTTCAGGTGGGTCTGCCCCATATAACTCATTCCCCAAAGTCAGAGCTCTCTGTTTCTGTCTCTCAGGCTCTCAGGACTGGGGAGTGTAGTAAAGTTCAGTCATGGAAATTGATAGACTTTTGGTTGATGTAAGAGGGAAGGAAACCATCCTCAATTTGTAAAACTCCAAAGCAGGAAGTATGGATGCTCTCTATCTTCTGAACTCTCAGAGACAGAGAGAAAATGAATGCAGGAGATCAAAATACCATGGCCCAAACTTTCTCTATATATCCTTAGTAAAGTTTCCTCCTCTAGATGCTTTCTAGATTGGTACATAATCTCCACCCATGGCTCCTACTCCTTATTTTTATCTTTAGGATCACAATGCTCATTTCACACATGTGGTTAGAGAAATCAATTCTTTGCCTTAGATAATCTACAGATAGAGATACTTATAAAATTCTTTCTATATATACATAAATTTGTTGAATTTAATTTTTATGGAAGGAATGAAATTGTTCCTTATCATCTACCCACTGGAGAACCAAGATTTGTCTGGGAAATGTTTCTCAGAACTCAACTAAGTGAAATGCCAGAAAGAGCAAAAAACAAGAGATTCAACAGCTAAGAGAACAATGTTTGGTATATTCAGATGTTTCTGTAGAAAGTCGTTGACCAACCTCAATGTAACCACTTTGCTGAGTAACTAGTTCTCTTCTTTTCTTGTGAAACTAACTGTTGCCACCACACCTCCATCACCCCACACCTTCATTACTTACTGCTAGGTGTATCATCCTCACACTGCTGCCTCCACTCATTTGAATTGTTTGCTCATTGTTACTATAATAAAACTTTTCTATTCTCTCATATTTGTGCAAAACTGGAATCTATTTTACATTATAAAATATCACCAATACTTATAAGAGTACAGGGATGAATTTCACTTTTTGATAAAAATTCAAGATCATTTTGGAGCTTGGCTTGGTCTGCACCCTAATATGTATCTCCTCAATTCTCCATTTGAACCACATTCTTTATCTCTCTGCACATCAGACCACATTCTCCTTGAATTCATTCAGTATGAATTCTGAGATCTTTGTGAGTTTTCTGGAGAAAGGGGGATTTTATTTTTAACATAAAGTAGTTGAAGTTTATCCTTTTTCTAATAGGTAATCCTAACCTAATAATTCATAGGCTTTCCCAAAGCACATTTCCATGTTCTACCATTATGTTCTGGTGGTCACATTCCACTGTCCTTGCTCTGCCATCTTGAAAGTGGCTTTTCCATGTACCACCCCATTTTATCTTCAATATACCTGCCCCTTACTTCCTCAAACACAAATGAATTTAGATTGCACATTTAACAAAAGTTAACAAATATTGAAGGATATGAAAAACATTATTCTATTATTAACCTGGAAAGATGACTTGGACAGCATGGAGTTCCATGATTACTTAAATGAGGCATCAGTGACTGATTCTTTCAGAAATAATCACTCACAGTGAGATACGTTTGATTTCACTCTGCAGAACATGGGGTACACTGTGTCTGTTAAAATTAATTGGAGTTTTACACAAAATTCTGAGGTTGGAAGTTAACATCCTCTTGTCTCAGGAGCCTCTAGAAGCACATATTGAACCAAAGAGCCACGCATACCTAGCATGAAAAAATTAAATACAGGCTTAATATGAGAAAAGTCTTTAAGTGCTCTGTGGTACTTTTTGTGTAAACGCATTCACTTATCGTTACTCTTGCATTCAGGTTAATGCTGTAGATTAGGCAAAGTTAAAGTTTCTGCTCTTGAGAAGCTGTGAGGAAATGAGTAGCCCGTGTAAAAATCCCTGAGAGCAATATTGTCCATTTGTCTCTCTGGGCAGAAGGCAGACAGAAGGTCTTGATAAATACCATGCATTGGGTTAGTATGGTGGAATAATGAAGCATGTTCACTTCTCTGAAAAGTGTTGGGAGTTTATGCTATTCATACATTCACTAACAGTCAGTGATTGTTTGAACTTGGTGGAAGATTTCATATGAGACACTGAGAAAGTAAAATGAAGTCCCTTTTGAGACTGGCTTCCTTCACTTAGCATAAAGACTTTGAGAATCATTCAAGTTGCTTGTGAATAGATGTTCTCTTTTACTGATGAATAGTATTCCATCTTATGGATGTACCACAGTTCTTTATTTATTCTTATGCCCCTAATTGATTTATCTTGCCAAATTGCATTGGCTGAAATCTCCTCTATAACAATGAATAGTAGTGAAAAGGCCTGCTTACTTTTTTCCATGATGTGCCTTTAGTGTTTACCTGTTATGTGAGTGAGATACTGGAAAACAGGAGTATATGATGTGTGTGTGTGTGTGTGTGTGTGTGTGTGTGTGTGTGTTTTGTGAGTAATCATTGAATAAATATCCCCCAATCACTATTTTCTGGAGAGTTTTTATCATTCATAGCAATTAATTTTGTCAAACTCTTTTAAAATTCATCATCTATATAGTCCTTGGGTAGTGGCCTGTGCAGCCAAACTCTGGAGAAGCTCTCTGTGGTGCCGAAGCTGGGCACTGAGGAAACCACATACACTGAATGAGTCCATAGGTAAAATATCCAATGAGCAGGACAGGAGAGAAGCTTTTGTCCTCATGTGATCACTAGTATTTTGGGAATTGATAAAATGAAGTGGAGAAAAAAATGGTGGCTAAATAGGCAGCAGTGTCTTGCATTTCTTCCTAGAGCCAGAAATGCAATAAATAGAAGAACATCCACCCTGAGTTAACAAATTAATCACAGTTGAGAGACAAATTTCATAAAAAGTGCAGAAGACTACTAGAGAATGGTGCTTTCCAGCCATAACCCATGTGGAACCACCACCATGCCCCAGCAGTGAGTGACACAATACCTCCTGGTCTGCTCTTAGACACCTGCAGGGAGCATGTGATGCTAAAGTGAACTTCGGCGCCAGGCCTCCTCACCAGCCCGCTGGGACCCAGCATCCTAAGATCCAGTTCCAAGACTGCACTCTGATTGCAAGCCTGGGAGAAGCATGTATCCCACACCCACCACAGACCCCATTTGCATTTTTTGGTCTGCAAAGCTCATCATTTCCCCTTCAATTTTTAATGATAGCCTTGCTGGATAGAGTATTCCAGCTAGATAGAAATGTGGTGCTAGCCTGATCCAAAGCCACCCAAGACCCACACTATACCCAGCACTGGGACCTGATGCCATGGTGACTGGGAGCAACTTAGAACACTCTACAGAGGAGCTCTGACTGTGCAACCCACCCCTCCCTAGCCCCCTCCAGGACAGTCCTGTCAGGGCCATCTGGAGCAAGCCAGTGCTCCCCTAACTCTGGGTGAAAAGAGAGCATGGACTGAGTGACCCAGGACAACCAGCCCCCACTTCATACTAAGTGGTGAGCTGGAGCAACCCAGCACATGTCTCATTCCAGCTATAAGAAAACAGAACTGTGCAATCCAGAGTAACCCCAACCCTCTTCTCTCCAGCCCCTGGGACAGTCCTGCAAGGGGCTACCTGGAGCAACCCAGCACAAACCTCACTCCAAGCCATGCGAAAGCACTGCTGAGGTAACCTGGAGCAAGTAGGTGTGCCCAGCCAGGAGCCACAAGACCATGCTTCAAGTGCACTGCCAGAGGGACTTAGGGTGCCACCCTGTCACAAGTGCTGAGGCTGCACATTGAATTAAATGCCAGAGAGCTCTGGGTCCTCAAAGGGCATCGCATATTAGAGGAACTGTACACATGGTCCCACCATACTGAGCATCTGAAGCAGACAACTGAGGGACTAGATCCATGGGACAAGAAGATACAACTCAGAGCAGAGACAATAAAGGCATGAGACTCAAGGCAGACCCAAACTTTGGACTAATGATTTCTAGACTATTGCTCTGATAGGGTATTCAACCTCTCAAACCCCAAGCAGGGTACACAGGGCCAGAGAGAGACAGTAAAAATGTGGAGACAAAGAAAGAACGCCTCAAGGAAGAAAAGGAGGAATCGCCGGAAAAGAAACTAAGTGAGATGGAGGCATGCAATGTGTCAGGAAATTAATTCAGAGTAAGGGTCATACAGTTTATAAACCAGATGGATGAGAAAATCAAATACATTTGTAAGAATGAAGAGGAAATAAAAAATGATATAGCTACAATAAAAAAACATGATGGAAGTTTTCAACAGTAGGTCAGAGGAAGCAGAGGACCAAATTAGTGAGTTAGAAGATAGGGTAGTTAAACACACCCAATCTGAACAGCAACTGGAGAAAAAAATTAGAAAGCAGGAAGAGAGCCTAAGAGAGATTTGGGACATGAAATGAAGTAACATACATATAAAAGGAGTGCCAGAAGGACAAGAAGAGGAGCAAGGATCAAAAAACTTAATTGAAAAAATAATGACAGAAAACTTCCCCAATTTGTGAAGAAAAAAGACAGAGACACAAACACAGAGAGTCCCACACAAGATGAACCCAAAAATACCTACATCAAGACAAGTCATAATTACAATGGAAACATTAATGACAAAGAGAGACTCTTAAAGGCTGCAAGAGAGAGACAGAGAGTTACTTACAAAGGATCTCCCGTTAGATTATCAAATCATTCCTCAACAGAAACACTTAAGGCCAGAAGGAAATGAAATGAAGTATACAAAGTGATGCAAAGTAAGGGACTGAATCTAAGAATACTCTATCCAGTAAGACTATCATTAAAAATTGAAGGGGAAATGAGGAGCTTTGCAGACAAAAAAATGCAAAGGCAGTTTATCACTACCAAGCCAGTAATGCAATAAATGCTAAAGGGACTGTTTTAAAAAGAAGAAATAAAAAGGAAAGAAGGAACACAGGCATAAAAATAGGAATAGCTACAAACTAGTACATGTCAATAATAACTTTAAACATAAATGGACCAAATGCTCCAATCAAAAGACATGGAGTGGCTGAATGGATAAGAAAACATAATCCATATGCATGCTGTCT